GGATCAGGGGGTGGAGACGGGTAGGTTTAAGGATCAGGGGGTGGAGACGGGTAGGTTTAGATATGTGTAAGGTGGGAGGAGTTGGATCTGGATCCAACCACGCCCCCTGGATCTTGTGTTCTGCAGTGAGGACCATCTCAACTGTATCAACCAAGAATGATCTATTATCACATTTTCCCCCCATCATTCATATATTTTAAACTTATTTCTGTTATTTATTTTCGAAATACCTCCACTACATCTATGGCTGCCAATTTATTCCTTTCATGAGTGATTTTTGTCTTGTCTTGGCTTTTTTGTGAAACTTTTTTATTTTAATTTTATAAAGTGAACTTTGATAATACAGAGCCTTCGCAAACCCCAGTACACCCAGTGTCTTTTGTAATATAGTCATTTAATGCATTTTGCTAAAATACAGTAGTGTTCCCAATATCTAGTGTTCTTTACATTACCCTCCTAAGTATTTTGGATAGTATATATATATACAGTATATATAATAATGTCTGTTAAGTACTATAAAGTGACTAAAATGTTCTATGTTGCACATATCAAATAGTTACGCAATATCCACAATGTTTATTTATTTAATCATTTATTGTAAATGCAGCAATATGAAGACATTTTAATGGAAACAATGTTTTAAAAAGAAATACCTAGTTTATAATCGATACAAAAGAGCAGATGAATTTCATTGTACATATCCCAACCAGTCATATCATAACCTAAATTAACTACATGACACTCAATTTATACTTTAAACATTTTATTTCATTCCCATCGGAATAACAATATTGCTGAACAACATTTTTTCTTTGTAAGAAAAATACTGTATAGTACAGAACACAATAGTGTAGAACACAAGAGTTTGACTTATGATGCTGTAGGCCTTTTCATTTTATATAGAAACCTTATTCTTTTTTGCATTGGTTTTCAGTTTCATACTCTCTCACATAGCCTAATTTCCCCAGTGTTCGTCTGATTGTAACTTCAGAAACTTTGACTTTAGCTAGGGCAAGACAAGCTTGCAGTTCTTTGGTCGTTATTTCGGGTTTCTTCGTGACTTCCTTGATGATTTTACGTTTGACCTTTGTTGAGATTTTCGGCGGTCGACCACTCCTGGGAAGATTCATCACTGTTCCAAGTGTTTTCCATTTGCAGATTATAGATCTGATTGTGGATTTGTGAAGTCCCATAATCTTTGAAATGGATTTGTAACCCTTACCAGACTTATGGTAAGAAATTATCTTTTCTTTGATATCTTCTGAAATTTCACCTGACCGTACCATTGTGCATTTACAGACCCTTTGCGCTGGCAACTTTATGTCTGTTTAATGGCTAAGGATCAAAATAAGATTCAATAGAAGTAGTGCTTGCTGTCCTCAGATGGAGCTGAAGGCTGATCTAGGGTGCCCAACCACTTCAGCAAGGTATCTATGAAAAAGCAAATAAAATACTTAACTCTGGGCTGCGTTTCCCAAAAGCAAAAGCCACCGATGGAGCTACGATCAATTTAGGCTTATGGTGCTTTTGGGAAATGCAGCCCTAGTCTTTGTGAGGCAAGGCAAGTTTATTTACAGTATAGTACATTTCATACACCATGATAATTCAAAGATCTCAAGTCGAACATACTCAAACTGTTGAAGCATTTGGCAAAACATTACATTACCACAACTGAAATAAAATATTTTCACTGCATGTAAACTTCCATTATTTTCACATAAAACAATTTATTAATTGTTGATGAACTAAATCGTGTATATAATTAAACTGAATCGTTTAAATGAATCGAAATTCGACAAAATCGACTCCTTGTCAACCCAAAGATTTACAATTTAACGTGTGATAATTTCAAGATAATAATGAGTTTGACCACAATATTTGTAAACATCAATAGCAATTGCATTAGCAATGCAAGCTAACAGCCGGTTAGCTTCAGTTACCCTGCTGAAGAGCCGCTGAACAGAGCTATTAAGACATATAATGCCAAATAAACGAGTGGCATTTTAAGATAATTTAAATAACACATCTATTATTCACCTGCACCCACAGATTTAAGCTTCTAACGTTACTGGCTAACTACTGAAGAAAACCCCAAACACTTTCCTTCTCGGTAAATGGACAAATATCCTCAGATCATTATATGTCATGCCAAAACGAAGTGTCTATTAGATAAATAATTATATTTAATCTTACCTGTGATCTTCTCTAACGTCCAGCTTTAATGGGCTGAAGTTTCTATGCAGTTGCTGACTGGAAATCCTTAGAGCCAGGGTTTCCAGGTTTTCACAACAAAACCTGCTCAAATGCTACTCAAAACTAGTCTAAAACTAGCCCGATGACGTTTCGAGGGGGATCCCCCGGTAAAAATCGCGTTCCGGTGGGTAAAATACACGTTTTTTGGCGAGGTTCCCCTGGAAAACCGCGGATTTAGCGACACTGCTTGGAGCAAATGAGGCGTTTTACGCCACATCGACCCCTAGCGTTCGCCACCTTGAGCGCCCATATTCACTCGAGACTTATCAATTATTACTTTCTTATTCTTTTATTCTCTACATAGCTCCAAGTATAATCTGAATCTACAACTAATTTAGTTTCCTTACTCACTTTAGAGTGACATATTACCAAATCTGGAATTTATAGGGCAGAATAGGACAGATACTTTTTGGATAATTATATGTATCGAGTTATTTAGTTAGATGAATACAATGGAAAATATGTTATTATCAATAACCAACCTGCCAACATTTCTCAGAAACACTCAATAAAGGTTCTGCAGCTGGATGTATCTCGAAACACTGGGCTTTATATGTTGTTGCAAGTATTCGCCACAAAGTGGCAATATTTTGTTCTAAAAATCAGCATTTTACAGTTTTCCAGTCAGTGCAGCGATTTATAGACATTCAGGCAGCCTGCATTGTAAAATCAATCTCAAGAGAGATGAAAATATGAATTTGAGTTTATGGAACTGGTAGAGAACTTTGTCTTATGTTGCAAGGAGAAAAACATCCAACTGAACACCAGTAAGATAGAAGAGAAGTTTGGCTTCAAAGACCATTTATAAATCAGGGCTCCAGACAAAAAAATCCCAGCAGCCACTGCTATCACACAGAGATGCAACTGTTATAGTGTTTGGGAATACTCATGCCTAATTTAAACACATAATCACATGAATCAGATGAAAAATAAAACATTTTAGAAGAGAACGCAGCATCACAGTTGTCTGAACCAACGAGCATTAATCTGTATCAGCCAGTCATTTCCCATCTTCTTGGCGTGGGAGCTGAACACGCAGAAATACAGCTTGGGTGATTTTTCTTTTACATCTTCTGGAATTTCCTTTGATCGTGGCATTATGCACTTGCTGAATGAATCTTTGATTGAATCTTCAGGTTGATTTTGAGAAGTGCTGTAGAAGTAAGGAAGAAGTGTAGAAGTGCCCAGCAAGGTATCTATAAGAGTTAAAAAAACAAAACATTCATTACATTTGATCTCTCTGCTAGATCTGTTTTGAAGACCTGTTCAGTGACATTAAAAATATTTAGTGTGAACTATTTAGACAGACAAACAGTTATACTAATTTAATTCATTATACATACTTAAACAATTATTAAATAAATAATAAAACATTTACACTACCAAAAGTTTGATCAAGGTCATAAGATTTAATGTTTTTGAAAGACATTTCTTATGTTCACCAAGGCTGCATTTATTTGATTGAGAAAAAAAGTTAAAAACTGTAAGATTGTGATATAGCCTATTTCAATTTGAAATTAAGTAAAATTTAGCTGAATATATTTCTGTGATGGCAAAGCAGCCATTATACATTCATCCCTTAGAAATCAGTCTAATATGCTGATTTGTTACTCAATAAATATTTCTTATTATCAGTCTGGAAAAGTTGTGCTCCTTAATATTTTTGTATAGACTTTTTACAGGATTCTTTGATGAGGAAGAAGTTCAAAAGAATAGTATTTATTTGAAATAAATTTTTTTGTAACATTATAAATGGCACTTCTAATGAATTTATAGCCTACTTGCGGAATAAAAAACAATTGAAAAAATCGAATTCAATTAAAACTCCAACCTTTTGAATGGTTCAGTAAAACACGAACAAAACCTTCTTTAAAAATTCAACCTCAATCAACGGAGGCTCCGAAATATATGAAATATGAATACGACTAACGTTACATTGTTTTTAGCAAGAGGCTGGTTAACTTCGATCTTCACTGTGTAACTGACACCAAACGGAGCGACTGTGACCTAATAAAACACAACGAGCGAAAGGAAAACGATAAGGAAAAATAATAAGCTAAACAATAACTGACATCGTCGTAGTCAATGCAGTTTAAAGGAACACGGTAACCTATTGACATAAATCGCTTCTTCTTTCTGTAATTACATGTTCTAATTGACATGTCCTTTCAAAAACTGCACGAAAACATTTAGACTAATCCTACCAGGCTTTGTGTCCCATAAATTGACAAAATCCGGATACAGATCGCTTATGTTAACGCCAAAGTGTAAACGCTTGGGCAGCAGCTGACTAAATCCCGCTTCATAAGAGTCATCACAACGTGTCAACATAAGAGACCTCTAGTTTACAAATGATTATGGACTTCAGTTTTATGCATACCACGCAGTATCCACATCGCACATCTGTCTTTATTATAGCACACGAGTATCCGTGTGTTATGCAGTATAGACTGCGGTTAGGCCAGCCTCCACTTTGAAAAACACGGTCATTCTAGCGCCATGCTGTTTCGTTGTCTCTGTCAATAATGAATAAATAAATGACGAATGAATAAATAAAAAAAATTATAATACAGATGTTTGTATTATTGTAAACGGTCTGATAAAATGAAAATGACTTCAAATTTTGAGTAATATTAAATGTAGAATTTCCAAATGATATGAAAACAACTGTCTGATGAGAAATAACAAAATAAAAGCCTTTCATAAACTTCCATATAATCATCTTTATCTGTACATTCACATAAAAAGGAAACTCCCAGTTTCCACAGAACAATTTCAATTCAGATTGACAGTCCACTACCCAGGGTGTCACTCAGTCAGTTTCAGGACTGATGTTGCATTACATAATAAGAGCCCTCCAAAAACTCATATTCTACCTGTCCTGCCTGTGATTTTGGATAGCTCTAAAAAGGAAACTCCTGTAATGTTTCCACTACAACTTGATGACTTTGACTATAGAAAATAAACAAAAAAACAAACTAATGCATTTACACTTTTCTACAGATATTCAATTTTAGGTCCCAACCCAGTCATAACCCAAGTAATTGATATGACGAACATATATGCATGTTTTGTTTATTATTTGTTTATAATAGTAATATATTGATGAACATTTCTCTTATTTTGCTGTCAGGCCACATACAATGAGATGAACAAAAATATTACTGCATAAATATCCTATTGCACAGAATAACTTTAGTGAGTGAACAAAATTATATATACATAAAAATATATAACTATTCATGCCTGACACAGAAATAAGTACAAAAAAAAGTGTATAAGAAGAGTAACAGTGCTGGCAACATGTTTTTACTGTGGATTGTTGCAAGCCTGTTTCTGACACAATAGGATCCTTATTAAACAAAAACTTCCACTTCTGTCGTTACAAGATTTTTCTCAAAAACTACAGTTTCCTGAATCTTCTTCTCCAACAAGAGATGAGCATTTATTTTCTTCTTTTTCTGCAGTGATTTTTGCCTTGGTACTCTCTCACGATGCCTGATTAGGTCCAGTCTCTTCCTGATTGTGGATTCATGAACTTTGACTTTAGATAGAGCAAAAATAGCCTGCAGCTCTTTAGATGTTATTTCAGGATTTTTTGCGACTTCTTGGATGATTTTACATTGCGCCCATGGAGAGATTTTAGGCGGTCGACCACTCCTAGGAAGATTCATCACTGTTCCGAGCATTTTCCACTTGCAGATTATGGATCTGATTGTAAATTGGTGAAGTCCCATAATCTTTGAAATTGATTTGTATCCTTTACCTGCCTTATGGTAGAGAATTACCTTCTCTTTGAACTCTTCAGGAAGTTAATTTGATCGCGGCATTATGCGTTTGCTGAATCGTCACAGGATGATCCAGGGTTACAGCAGAGCCCAAACACAAAATATCTGCAAGAAGGTAAATAATAAAGCAGGTTTTAAACCACCTGGTTCTCATAACAATAAATACAAAACCTACTTTGGTTTTATAGCAGGGGAAATAAACAAGAGGAAGCGGCGTCACATTGGATCAGCCAAGACATCCAAAAGATACAGATGGCTGAAGAGGACACTTACTTTTAATTTAGATTATGGGTATTATACTGAAAACAGACGTCAAACTGCTTGTGCCTAGTCACCTTTAACCTTCTTAGTTCAAGGCTTTCTGACCTAATAGCCCACATTCATTAATGTAGGGTAATTAAAATACAATTGTCCGTTCACCATTTTACCTACTAAAGTAAAATCATTTAAACTAAACAAAAAAAAAAAAGGTAAAAAGGCAGTGGTCCAATTGTAAAAAAAATTCAGGGGGGATGGTGTGGTCAATTTCTCTGGAAGGCAGGGGATCCTGTAGCTAATTTTACATAACGATTACAATTTGTCTAAAAAGGTTTTTAATTTAATGAAAAATAAGCCATATTAAACTATTATTTATACGTTTTTTCTTCCTTCTGGGGCCTGAAACGGAGGAATTTTGGTCAATACCGCTAATTAAACAATATTTCGCTGAATGTGTTTTTGTGCTGGCACCTTGGCTGGTTTAGGCATAGACATAATAAATACCTAGACACCTCATTGGCTGCTTTGAGCCGGTGTTGCGATACGTCAACGCGTCCGCCATGTTTATCCGGGCAAGATTGCTTTAAAAACAAATGGAGGTAAATGGGGGAGCTGTGTTTTTTTCTGGATAAAAACACGATAACGTTTACATTTATCAGCCAATTTCAGTGATTTGTGATCTACATGGGAGTTCAAAATAAGTCTGTCTTTAGTTAGGCTTGGAAAATGATTAATTTTCATAAGAAATTGTGAAAGCTCTCACTCAACACTTGTGTTGATTTGTTTGATTTTTTTTTCTGTTAACAATTCTAATATTAATGTAGTATAACCGTGATATATACATGTAATGTAATTTTAATGTACATTAAATGAAATTAAGTGTTTTCATTGTCTTCAAACCCAACATTTTAGCTTTTCTTGTGTTTCAGGACTCCAGTGGCAACCTGTGAAGCTCTGGTGAACTCCATGCCCAAGAGGGTTAAGGCAGTGCTCGAAAATAACGGTGGCCACACAAAATATTGACACTTTGGGCCCAATTTGGACATTTCCACTTAGGGGTGTACTCACTTTTGTGGCCAGTGGTTTAGACATTAATGGCTGTGTGTTGAGTTATTTTGAGGGGACAGCAAATTTACACTGTTATACAAGCTGTACACTCACTACTTTACATTGTAGTGTAAGAAATTATAGTCTGCCTCGACCAAACTTACACTCCAATTAAACTATTCTCCTTTCTCTACAAAGAGCTTAATTATCATAGAGATAATTCTTTCATGTTTGAGCGTAGGATGCTCGGGGTTCTTTCTGACTCCGTTGAACCCAAGGTACTACATGTACTTTATCACTGATATGCTGCAATAAACATCTTCATCGAGATCGTCATCGTCCTCATCATTTTTCTTACATTGGTGAGCCACCCAGCGCAGGAGTTTCCAAAAAGCAGGAAAAAGGTAAGAAAAGCGGTTTCTTTCTTTTTGCTGGATTTGTCAGGGAAACCCCTTCGTTTAAAAAAAATCTAGAAAAGAAATGGTAAGGATAGAAGATAAGTTTATTCAGTATTAGCAGGAGGAGTTCTTAAGCCTATTTCGTATAATTCTGTTTAAAATTACTGAATTAACCCGATGTAGTGTGGTGGCAGAGCTGTATTGGAATCGTTGTTTCTAAAGTAACTGAAGCAAAGTGCTTAACTTTAAAGTTTCTAAAGTAACTGAAACTTGTTGTTGGTCTCTTATAATTCTGTAAGATTCTAAAGTAATTGAATCAACGCAGTGTGGTGGCAGAGTTGTATTAGATCTGTTGTGTCTGAAGTTGTAAGTTTCTAACGTTGAAACTGACTGTGAAGATGTTATAATTCTGATTGAATTCTAAAGTAACTGAATTGATCCGACGTAGTGTGATCACAGAATTATTT